TTTTGACTTTAAACAATTTTGATAAAATTGTTTATGAATTAAATCAGATTTAGACAAAGTGATATTTATTTTTTATTTATTTAATACTTATTTGATTTATTGAAAGATTTCTGTATTTATATATAAATATTTTAAAAAATTAATAAATATCCTATCTATCAGCACGTTGGTTAAATATTAAAGCCAGTTGCTTTTAATGAAATTCGATTCCTAATTAACCTTTTTTTAAACTTTCTTTTTGACTTTAAACAATTTTGATAAAATTGTTTATGAATTAAATCAGATTTAGACAAAGTGATATTTATTTTTTATTTCTTGAATTTATTATAAGATTTTCTAGTTTAAATTTAAATATTTTAAAAAATAATTAAATATTCTAACTATTAGCAATCTGGTTAAATATTAAAGCCAATTGCTATTAATGAAATTCGATTCCTTATTAACCTTTTTTCAAACTTTTTTTAGTTTTAAATAGTTTTTTCTTAAAAAATTAAGAATGTAGTTTAATTTAAATATAATATTAATTTTTGTTTTTTATGGTTCAACATTCAGTAGATGTAATTTTTATTTTTAGTTTTTACTTTAAATATTTTGTAATTAAATCAAACAAGTAATAAAAAGATTTAATTTATATTTGCAATTAAATCCGTTTTTTTTAAATTATAATACTTTTTAATGTTATTTGTAAGAATAAAAAATTTCTATACTCAAATTAATTGTTAAAAATTTTTGCGTGTTTAAAGCCAATTATTTTAATTTTAAATTTAAATCATTTTATTATAGTTAAAGTGAATAAAAATATTTTCTTATAAAATTTTTTTAAAAGTTTGAAAACTTTAAATTATTGCCATAAATAAAGCTTTAAAAAGAATTATTCTGGTAAAATTTCTTTTCCTTTTATTTCTCGATCTACTCTTAATCAAGTGTAGTCATGTTATATCATTTTCAATCATAATTTTTAAATCACTGCTACTAAATCTTCTAATTAAACAAATTTTAGTAGATTAAATCAAACAAATGCCAATTTTTTAAATATTTAATAATATTAAACACTCAATACCATTTTTCTTCAATTATGATCAATTCAAATCAAAATTTTTATACAAATATAATTGACATCATATTTTAAGTTCATTTATTGGTTTGTTTCTTAACTTATTCTTTTTCTTGACAATACATGTATGTTTTCATTAGCCTTAATAAACTACTTCACAGAGTTAAGATACTTCCTTTTTTTATCAAATAGTTTTCTCTAGTAACGATTTAATGTCATTTCTATTAATAAATTTACTTCTAATAAATAGTCTTTTCTATATAAAAATTCAAATGGGCTAATACTTAAATATCTTCTTGTGTTAATCTTCTTAGATCAGGTTTCCTTATTTACCCTTAAAAATTTATTAATAAAACGTTTTCTTATGATAATTTATTCTTCCTTAATATTTAAATATATAAAACCCCTTTTGTTTCAAATTGACAGCTATCGTTATTATTAATAATAACACTATCAATAACATAATTTTATTATATTTAATTAATTAAATAATAATAGTTTATAGTTCATTTAAAGAAATATAAAAATAGTTTAAAATCAGTTTAAAAAAAGTAAATATGAATTATAAATCTTATAAAAATTTGAACACAATCTATTAATAAATAAAATAATAAAATTAGTTTAAATAAAATAATCAAATTTTTAATTAAATTAAGTTTAAAATTTAAAAATAAAACATTCTAATTTTATTTATTAAACAGATCGATAAAAATAAGATTTAAAAACCACAATACTAAAACAAGAATTACCAAGTAAAGTTAAAGTATGAAATAACTCATGAAATCCGTATATCTCAGGCTTAGGATCAGGCCATTCAAATCCAATGATAAAACCACCCAGAATATAAAACACACCACCTAAAATAACAAATATCAAATCAAATAAATAAAAAGCCATCAAAGTTTTAAAAGAAAATGACACTAAACAACCATGTACTATATAAATAGCTACATCAGTAAAAGAAAAACATTCATGAATGCATGCTTTTCTAACAATTCCAATAAAAGCAACTAACCAAGATAACCAAATGGACCATTTTATATCTACATCAAATTTCTTAGGAGTGTTGTTTAATACAGCAGTTTGAGTGCCACTAATCAAAAGGAATATAGACATGTGATCTAATCTCTGCATTATTTTCTTAGATGTTTCACTAAATTTGTAGATGTGATAAGTAGCACTGATACCAAAAGTAGTTAACTGAACAGCAAAGTACAATAAAATATTTAAATCAAATTTCCAATAGAAGAAACAAACAATAAAAGGAATTAGAATAACTAAAGTAGTAAAGAATCCAATAGCATGAAAATAACCTCTCAATTTAGGCTTTAAAGTCTTTAAAAATTTGTCTGTCTTCTTATTTAATTCATCTTTAACACTCTTAAGATTATTCTGAACGTTTCTAAAGTTAGTTTGAACATTTTTTAAATTATTTATTACATCCGTCATGATTGTTATTAAAAATAAATTAAAAGATAAATAATTTTAAGAATCTTTTAAGAAATATTTAAATAGTAAATAATCTTTTAACAAATTAAATCATAAAGGAGAAACTAATAAAAATATAATTTATTAAATTTTAACAAATAAAGATAAACTTAAATAAAAATGGAAAAAGAGAATGATGAAAATAATAAAACAGTTATTTTAAAACTAAAAGAAAATGAAACAGAATATGATAGACATTTGATGGAGTTAGAAATCTGTAGAGTTTTTGTTAAAAATCCTAAGATGGGTATTTTAGAAACTGAAAGACTGCTACATAAAAAAATTGGACAAATTGATAAAACTTATGATGATTTTTTTACAGTATTTTTGAATATTAAAAGTAAGGCAGTTGATGGTGATCCAATTAAATATTTAGAAAATTATTGTTTAAATGAAAGTTCCAAGTGGAAACATTATGAAAGAAAATAAAATTATTTAAAGAAGTTTTAATAAAATTTTTATGATTTTAGAAAAACTTGAAGAGAGATTTAGTAATTATAAACTAGATGAAAGTCATGTTATTAATAGGGGTGCAGAAGCAGTTATTTATGATTTGGGTGATTGTGTTTTAAAGAAAAGAGTTTCTAAAGATTATAGAGTTAAAGAATTAGATGATCAAATTAATAGAACTAGAACTAATAGAGAAGCTAAAATTATCCAGAAGCTTAATAGTTTGAATGTAAACTCACCAATGTTTAAAGGAGCAACTAGAAATTATGAAATTTTTATGACAAAGGTGGTGGGTAAAACAGTTAAAGAAAAACTAATTGAATCACTATCTGAGCAAGATGGTTTATTAAGCAATATAAAGATAATTAAAGATGTTGCTAAAATAGTAAAGACAATGCATATTAATGATATTGTTCATGGTGATTTAACCACTCTTAATTTTATTATTAAAGATAACAATGATGTGTATGTTTTAGATTTTGGTTTAAGTTTTAACAGTACAAAAAGTGAAGATAAAGCAACTGATCTTTATTTATTTGAAAAAGGATTAGTTTGTGTTCATTCAGAAGATTTACTAAAACTATTTTATGAAGAATATTTTAAAGAGAATCCCTTTGAGTTATCAATAATTTCTAAACTTGAAGAAATCAGAAAAAGAGGAAGAAAGAGAGAATAAAATATTTTTTTACAATTTTTTATTTACAAATGTTAAACAATAAAAAAGATGATCAAACACCAGAAGAGTATTGGAAGGCTGTTTCACAACAATTATCTACTAGAAAATATGAAGATAACATTAAATTATCAATAGAAACACTTAATTTTAGTAAATTAGCTGATAGATTTAAAAAGATTAATGATGAAGGTAAATCAAGAGATAGAACTGCTTATTTATACGAAGGTGTCAAATTAAAAGATGCTGCTGCATACTACCACACAGCAATTAACAATTCATATAACTTTAGACCAATATTTGACTTACTTAAACCTAATTATACTCCTCGCATTTCAGTTAAAACTCCATCATTCTTTCCAAAAACAACCCTCAATGAATTTAACAATCACTTGTTTTATAAGAAATTTGACTTGGACACAATCTTTTTTATCTTTTATTACTTTAAAGGAACAGTTCAACAGACATTAGCAGCTAAACGGCTTAAAAGTTTTGCTTGGAGATTTCATACAAAGTATAAAATTTGGTTTCAAAGAAAATCTGAACCTACTTTTTTAAATTCTGAATATGAAAAAGGTGAGTTTTTATTTTTTGATTATGAAAGAGAATGGAATTATATGAAGAAAACTGATTTTGTATTTGAATATTGTTATTTAGAACACAATGATAATTTTTAAGTAAAATTTTTATTGATTTTTTTATTAGTTTTTTAATTAGTTTTTTATTAGTTTTATTGATGAATTTTTTTAATGAAATTAAACAAATAGAAAAAGATTTAGAATCTTTAGTTTTCATTACAAATAATCACAAAGAATTTAAAAAGAATAAATCTTACAATAAAGATTATTTAAGTGGATTTAGATCTAAAATATCTGATAATGTTGATGAAACTAATGAATTTCTAAAGGGTGTTAAAAATTATGATCATAAACGAATTAAAGATTTAGCTATCACAACTGACAGTATTGAGGAGGCTATGAGAATATTTTTTAATCTGGTTGAGTATCACAAGGTATGTATTGATGATTTCGAAGAATTAGCTTTATCATTATTTAAGCTTATTTTAAACTTTTTAAGTTCTTTAAATCAAAGTAAAATTACAGAAACTCTTATGGAAATTTCTGAAGATAGTTCTTTCGTTAATTTTTATTCTGAACTTTATAATTTATACATAGAATCTATTGAAGAATCCATGATATTTATGGCAAATAAGTATGAAAATTATAAAACTAAATTCTAAATTAGAAATTTAATTAAATTGATTAATTATTTTTTTAGAAATTTTAATTAAAACTTATTTAATAATGATTAAATCTTATAAAAAGTATAAAAATAATCAAGTGTGTTTTAATAAGTTAAATTTAAATAAGAAGGATGATTTAATAGAAATTAAAACTAATGAATTAAATATTAAAGATGATGAAATAGATAAGATTGTTAATATTATTACTGATAAAATTAAAAATAAAGATGATAAACCCAAGAAAATCAAACTATCTACTATTGCTACCATATTAAGTATAATTTTTACATTTTGTTGTATCATTTCTTATTTATTTCCTTATAAATCTAAAATTATTAATAGATTTGAATTTAGTAAAGTTAGTGATTTTGAAACACAATATGGAATATTAAAAGATAAAAAAGAATTACATAAATACTCTGATGAAATTATAAAAATTAACAACTGGATATCTAATAATAACAGAGAGAAGCTTGTTAAGATAATTGATCCATCTTCGTTTGGGTATATGCTACATGGACCACCTGGAACTGGTAAAAGTTTATTTGTTCAGGCCTTAGCTTATTTAATCAATCTTAAACTTAAAATGATCTATTTAAGGAAAAATATGAAATTAGAAGAAATAGATTCTATTACTATGTATAGTGATTTAAGTGATATAATAACGAGAAATAAAAGTAAAGTTGAATATCTTATGATCACGCCTAGTTTAATAAATGACAAATACGTCGGTGAATCTGAAAAGAATGTTAAACAGTTATTTAAAGAATTGTATGATTTTAACGATCCTTATACAATTAGAATAGTCTTTTTTGATGAATGTGAGGCTTTTTTTAGTAAAAGATCAGATAAGAACTCAAGAAGTAACAGTGAAGTATGTGTTCAAACTGAATTGTTAACTAAAATATCTCAACACGGTGAAAACATTAAGGGTGTGTTTTTATTTGCAGCTACTAACATGCCACATCTAATTGATGATGCCTTTAAAAGAAGATTTGGAAACAAATGTGAATTTGAAAAGCCTAAATTGTATAGTGAGATAATTGATTTAATTAAAAGTGTTTTAGTTGAATTAGGTGAAGAAAAATCTGATAAATATGCTAAAGAAGTTGTTCATGTGTTTAAAAATACATCTCAGGCATTTATAACTAGAACATGTAAAAGATATATATTGAGAAATGAGTATGGAAAGGCTATTAAATTTGATTCAAAATCTTGTTTAAAAGATGTTAGAAATATTCAGAGAAATGAAAGAATTTAATAAATTTTTTAGTAAAAATATACTTTTTTTATTATAAAAGTATTTATAAACTTTAATATTTTATAAACAAATATTTATGACAACAGAGAAACATTTGAAACATAGTTACATATAAAATATAAAAAGGAAATTATGAAACAAAAGAATTTAATAAAATATAAAACTGACAAAGAGGTACTTAGACTTTCAGGGTACGTCAACAAGTTTATTTAATCATAAATAAACGTTTTCTTTTTAAAAACTTTTATAATTATTAAATTAAAATTTTTATAAGTTAATATTTGTTAAAATTTTTTAAAAAAGGTTTTTCTAATTAAAATTTTTTAATTAGAAATATTAACTTTTTCTGTAAAGCAAAATAAAATTATAACATTTAAAATTTTTATAATTAAAAATACTAATTTTACTATAAAAATGATATTAAAACAAACAATTAAAGGTTGTTTAATTTAACTTTTAATTTATGATTTATTAAATTTATTAAATTAATTTTTTGATTTTATGTAATTTAAACAATTAAATAATTTGATAAATTTTAATAAAAATAAAACAATAATTTTCATGAACCAAGATGAATATAATAAATTAATAAGTCAACATTATAAGGAGATTTATACGTTTAAAAAGACTGAAAAGAAACAAATTAATACAAAAATTGAATTAATGACTCCTTTTGATGCAACACCTGATTATTATAAAGGCAAAGTTCAAAAGTATAGTTTAAATGCTTTTCCACATTGCAATTCACTTTTTATTAGAAAAATGCCTAATAACACACTTTTAAAAACATTGGCATTTTATGATATTAAACAATATAAACTAAAAAGGAAATAAAATTTAATTCTTATCAAAAAGTTTTTCATATTTTTTTATCATTTCATTTCTTAAGTGTTTTTCAAACTGATCATGTCTAATCCAAAGATCTGATAAACATTTACTTTGTGATTTTTCATTAATAGCACCACACATTATTCGATAGGAGAAATAAAAACATTCTTTTATTAAGCCTATTGATTGACAACTTCCTGCTGTATTGGTTAATATATCTTCATATATTGGATCTCTTATACAAGTTTTAGAAGTGTTATTATAAATATACTTTCTTTTATTTGTGTCTATAATAGCTCCCTCAAATGGAAATCTTGAATAATATTGGAAGAAGTCCATAAATAACACTCCTAGATTTTCTTTAACTGAAATTCTGTTAGTTTGAATCATTGGATGTGTTTGAAAGAAATCAAGTAACAATATAAATTGTGCATAACCTACCAATCCTCCATTCATTCCATCTGATAACCTTCTTTTTTTCATAAAATATTTAAATATTAAAATCATGTGATCTAATCCATCATGTTCTTTACACTTCTTTTTAATAAAATCACCTGCTTTCATCCCCACTTCTTGTCCCACACAAATATCTATTTTGATGTTAAATCGTTTATCTACCATTCTTAAAATGGGTACTTTTGCATTCTTTGCATGTATTACATGACCATTCTTAGCTATATCATACTTTGTTATGATATTAGTTATCTTTTTAAGTAATTCGTTAATTTCTTGTTTATTGTTTATTGATGAATGTCTTCCTATTTTTTCTAAAAAAGATGATGACTTTGATTTTATTAATGGTGTTATTATAGTTATGTCTATATCTGATGAAAACACCATTAATCCAGATTGGAAACTTCCAAATTTCTCCACTTTTACATTAAGTTCTACTTCTATTACTTCTTTTATTCTTGTAAATATAGAATTTCTTATTTCATTTCTTTTGTTGTTAATTTGATCGATTGATACAAATTTACCAATTCATGATTAAGTCTATCGATATCTGCTAATTTATTGTTCTTGTATTGATCTGATAAAACTGTTCTTATTTTTGTTGAATAATTTTGTTTATTGTTTTTCTTTCTACTGCTCATAAAAATTTCTTAATAAAATTTTATAAGTTTTTTTATTTCATCAATAGACTTTATATTATTTTTTAAATTTTAGTGTAAGGCATATTAGTTTAGTGGTCAGAATGGATGGCTGTTAACCATCAGACGGGAGTTTGATTCTCTCATACGCCGTTTTTTAATAAAATAATTTTTTG